CTGCGGACGCGCCTGTCGGCTTCCCCCGGGTGAACATCCTGCTCTCAAGGGGCGATCTCGACAGTCCGAAGATCATTCCTGAGGGATTCCATGAAATATTGTCAATACTCCTGTCACGGTCGGGTTGGGACCACCGAGTCCACGGTTTCCCTCGCGATTCAGGGGAGCACAGATCGACACGGCCGTGAGGGGAACAAATCCAATGATTAATGACTCACCCTTCCGATGTATCAGGGTCATATCTGAATCGAGCCAAGAGATAATCCGTCACCCAGCTCTCTCCGTTCTTACTCCAATTCATCCAAGAGTCGGGAACTCCGGGGCATGAGAGCATCTGCTGGAAGGTATACAGGATGGCAAATCCGCCGTCTTCCGAATGGGAATCTGCACGAAGTAGCCTTCCGTGACAGAGAAGTTGATGACACCGGAAAAATTGCCTCTGTCAGCGAATACTGCCCCGTGAATTGGATGTGGGGTCCCCGGTACCCTCGAGCTGAACGGGAATAAATTTCAATTATTCACCTTTATCACCCATTTGGCTCGCCATAGTCCATATTCCGTGGAGATTACCACAAAGGATGAGGAATAGAACATCATAACTGTATGGATGCCACTCCATCTGCCCGCTCGTTTCCGCCGTAAAACCCCTCACTGATGATAATAGAACGAGCGGCACACCACACACGTGCTCCCGGCTTCAGAAGAGAAATGAGAGGGATGCGAAGAAGTTACCATCCTGATACAGGGAAGAACAGTCCCTCGATTTCGGGCCATTGGCATCGTGTCCAGAGTTCCTTCGTGGGCATAAGCAACTCCTTGTACAACTTTCCCGACTGGCGCCTTTTTCCCCGCTCTCCTCTCCCCCGCACGTGTCTGACAAGCGTTGTTTACTTTCGAGCAAGTGGCCGTCAACCTCGACCACTCGGCGGACGGAGAACTCAGAGAATACAATAATCGTGAGATGATGAGTTCGGGATCACTCGACTGCCTCAAAATGTGCGCGATCATGGTATAACTTCGCAAAGTACGTTTTTCGGGTAGGTCTCAGCGTTCCGTTCACCTTTCGTCGCTTGCGATATATCACTCAGCCCGTGCATGGAACGCTCTGAGCGAGCTGCCGCAGGCCATGCTCCCTTGTCAAATTGGAATTCTCTCCGTTTCCACCTGTGTCGGACACGGGGAGCGAAAGCCATTGACTCGGGGATGGTCTCGGCCGCCACGTCCAGATCCGCGGATCATCACAGGTCACCCGATGACGCTGTTCGAGCTGCGCAGAGTCTCGGGGAGAGAAATCAAGCTCTAAGGTCCACAGGAAAAAGATCATATGAACGGAGATTTCTCGTTTGCAGGTTTATGGATCATGCTGCAGGCCCTCGCCTGCGCTGTGGGCATTGCTCTCGCATTTCTAGTCGTGATCTACGTAGGAATCGACGGACGGCAACGCAACGAGCCCTCGGTCGCAAAACTCCGATGCGTGCGAGTGCTTCTATTGAGTCTCATCACTCCTGTGTTCGTGTACTTCGTTCACGACGCTTCCTTCTATTCGGTCTCGTTCCGGGAGCTCCTCGGGATCCGTGCCGATGGCTTGTTGCCAGCGAGCGTATTGCCTCTGGCCCTCACGATGCTGTTCTACCTCGCCCCCATCGTCACTCATTTCGTTCTCGACCGCTATTACACGCTGCTGATTGAGCCCCACTTCTGGAAAGAGAGCTTGACGGACCCCCTCTGGGTTCGGGACCACATCTGTGCTCCATTCGTCGAAGAAGTCTGCTTCCGAGCGTGTCTATTGCCTCTACTCTATCCGCATTTCGGTGGATTGGGCTCAGCGATAGTAGGCCCGGTGCTGTTCGGATTATGTCATTTGCACCACGTTGTCGAACGCGTTCCGCGTTTCGGCCTCCTGAACGCTGTGAAAGTGACAGCGTCCCAGTTACTTGTTACGACATTGTTCGGTATCTACACATCGTTCCTGTTTTTGAGGACTGGTCATATACTGCCGTGCATTCTCGTTCACGCTTTCTGTAACTATATGGGTGTGCCACAACTGCCGGCGGCCGAGAGATCCTGGCTGTGGCTGCTCTACGCGTTCGGAATCGCCGGTTGGTGTTTCCTACTGAGGCCACTCACTGATCCAGACCTCTACTCGAACTCGATATTTATTAATTGAGAGTGCCCGAACCGTCTACCAGCAGAGGGAAGATGAGTTCGTTAATCAATTTGAGCTTGCTGCCGAGTGTATATTTCAATGTGTGAGAGCCCGAGTAATTTATTATTGTTGTTGTATGGAAGATCGAGTGATCGCTCATGGCAATCCATGGTAGTCCAAGAAGAGAGATATCGTATTTATTATCACCGGATCGATAGAATAGGGTTCTCCCTTCGCGGTTGATGACCCTTCGAGTATGGGAGGATCAGAAGCCAGCCTGAAAAGCGCACGAAGAGATAATGGTCTAGAATCTACCCGAATAAGACTTGTACTTTGTTCACTAAATTGGAATAAACTAGAACTCAATCAAGAAACAAATCTGAAATCGCGATCCTCAAATTGAAGCATCCTCTCAGCGGTCCCAAATCAGAAGCGGTGACACCGAAACGATAGCTTAGGCGGAGAAAGAGAAGACTATGGTTGTATCGGATCGCTCTTGATCTTCGACATTATTTATTAGGATGTAGCATGGATAGATATTGTACAGGGTTGTACATATTTGCAGGAGATGAAAATAGCGAGGCGCGTTTTGCGTAGTGAATCACTTCTTCTTCTTGATAGGATAAGACGTCAGTATGAAGGGCGCGTGCGCGACTGGCCATTGCGATGAAAAGAGCGGGTCGTATTGAGCGATAGCTGGACCCCATGCCGTGTTTATGGGTCTGGGGGGAGCCAAGTGGATTCTGGAGAAAGGTTCGGGGGGCAAAAATCCGATCGGTGGGTGATGAGGAGTCTGGAAGGGATTTTTACATGAGGAACCTTACATGTGTTCATGGGAAGCGTCTTCTTGTGGCGACAACATCAGCTCGAATGCCTGAATTTGAGGCGCGCAAAAGCTCACCCGAGGTTCGTCGGCTGTAGCGGGAACACCTGGTTGGATGACTTGGATTGGACGAGAAGGCCCAGTTGGGACGACCGTAGGACGGGACGTGATCGAACCGTCTTGCGCCCCGGGCTCTGAGATCACATTTGGAGGCACTACGAAGGTTTCAGTGGGTCGAGGATTGATTCCGTTAGGCGTATTCGGCTTGGGTTTCTGGGAGGAGGGTCTCGACGGAGAGGCACCGGGCGCAGATGAAGTCCACTCGACGTCGGCGGGAGCTTGATTGTCGGTTCCCGGCTCGTTGGTGTCAACCCTCGCTCTGAATCCGTCTTTGTCGGCGATATAATCCACAACTCTCATACGTCCGTCAGATAGAGTAATCGTGTAGCGACCTAACGAAAGACAGAAAATCATCATCAACTCGGAACCCAAGCCTGAGGTGATCTAATATGACATGAGAGGGCGATCCAACGCTCCTCCCACGGTCGGCCGATTCTGCTTATCTCGACCGTTCTCGTATCCCCTGGAAATCTGGAGAATTCTCGCCAGCGGCTGAGCGATCAGCGAATCGGCGTCATAGACGAAAATTTCAGGATTTATCGAGCCGACGCATTTCTAATTTCTCCGCCCATGAGAAACGAAATCTCAGATCAAGGGAGCCGCGCGGATAACCGAGAATATTTGATCGATGATCCGAGATAGAGGACGCGTAATTGCCATGAATCGGCCGGGGTGCTAACGATGTCCTTCCGAGTGACTCATTCATGAGCCACTATAGCGCAAACAACATCGGCTCGATAAGATGAATATTTCCGTAATTCAGAAGACTCGCTGGTCCACCGCTTCGGTCAAATGGGGAGCGGCGGGCTTTCAAAGCTACGTTGTTCACCGCGTCTGAGCTCAGAAGGAGCTACTGAAGCGTCAGAGAAGCGAGACACTGCATTCGTGGGAGACGATCCCTCCCTCATTAAGAAAACACGGCGTAGACTCACCTGTGACGGTCCCTTCCGAGTCTCTGGCTTCCTGGCGGCTATGACTGCCGTCCTCGGCCTGGACACCATATTCGAAGGAATAGGAGTCGTCGGCATCGATGTCGTTCGCACTGATCTGTTCTTCGTTCCTCACCGGGGCGAAGGAAGGGCCATCGAAAGCGGGCCTAGCACGCACAACTGGACTCAAACCGAAGCGACCGAAGTAAGGTTCGGCGTAACCGTTCCTTCCGTACAGAGGCGAAGCATGCGTTGCCGCAGCAAAGGACACAAACACTAGATGGAGGAACTGAAAAGGGTGAAATCCCATTATTTCAAGGATGTGGGGGTCCGATTCCGGACGGAGCCCCTGCACAGAGGCAGAAATCACTCACCATGATCTTGATGACTGATCTCTTTCGCGATTTGCCCCACCAGGGTGATTTTATACGAAGCGAAAACCCTTTCCCCCGAACACCGGTTCCCGATTCTGGAAAAACTCGGTTGGTCTGCCGAAAAGAAGTCTGCCTGAGAGAAGAAGTGTCCCTCTCGCCTCGACGTATGAGTTGGGCTGGAATCACTTGATCCGAGGAGGGGCAAAAGCCGCGCGGTTGAAGTTTCGACCCTCAGGACTTGAGCCCAGTCAACATTTTCTCTATTTTTCTCTTGACGATCCCGCTAAATTCGGAGATGAGTTTGGAATGCGGGAATAAATTCCCAGAAGGCATGATTGCCGACTCTGGGAAGCTCGCGAAATATCGTTCCCCCTCACGGGCTCTTCGAAACTCGCGACCGTAGCAAGGAGCTACGGTCGTATGGTTGTTTGAGGAGGGGGTCTGGAAATTAGATTCGCAGTATTCAGTCACGATGAACAAGGAGCTGGAAGGAGCCGTCGAAGATCTTCTCGGATGCGGTCACTCGAAACAATTCTCGGATTCGGCTCAGACGATGCCCTAATCGCTTAAGGTTATTTATTGCTCGGCGGTTGATTTCGGAACGTTTTCTCATTGATTGCGGCATGGACACTCCCGATCAAGACTACATCGGGAGTGTAACGAAAGCAGTTGATGAGAGACTTTCTCACCCTCATTACTCCTCATTAGTATTGATCGTGGAGCTCACTCACCGAACAAGATTATCGGATATTGTGACAGTTGATTGCGCCAAATGACGCCATGGGAACAGTTGACAGCGATTGCGTGTTCGACGCAGTCCGTTTCCCAGAAGTTCAAAACTTGTCAAATGAATTCGGTTTGTTTGCGTGCCACGAGAAATGCTCGATTCGTGTGAGTGTCTCAAGAGATTTAGCCGCCTCGGAGGCATTGAAATGAAATGAACACCGACATCGACTCGAATTAGAGGCAGATGCGGCTTTGTGCCTGATTCTGAGAAGGCGATTTGCTCCGCTTGTCTGTCCCGCCAGATAAGAACGGGTCTCGTTGCTCTACCTTGTGCCGTGCCGCTCGGCGATAATAAGCTTCGGATTAGGCGAAGACCACCTCTCGGAGTTCCCAACCCGAAAATCATCCCCATCATTCGCATGGACAGACAACCTCGGGCAGATCCGTTTTTACCCGTGGTAATTATTTATCAACTCGTTCATCCAGCCCTCCGTCGAGCCAGAATACTCTTCGTTTATGGCGGTGATTCTCACATACACGCAAGAGATGGAGAGTTCAAATGACTTATACCTCCCTGTCGTTTAACAAGCGCCGTTTGCGGAACTCCTGCCTGGTGGGGAGCATACAATGGTCGCCGTCGACTTCGTTGACCGAAACTTATGGGGAGCCCTGGCTATGGTTCCTCCCTGTGATTCTATGTTGTTTTCGCTTGTCGTCGTCGTCGTTGTAAATCTTCGATAGATCACATTTAATGAATGTTTCTCCTTTCTCTTGAAATAGAATGTCCTGTGTAAACAAGAGCCCGATCAAGGTTGAGAAGAATCGCTCTTTATAATGAAGGGAAGGCGTTCTTTGCGAGCAGTTTTCGCTTTTTGGCAGACTTTGTCACTACAATATGGCCCTTGGACTTTATCTCTGTTCTCGGAGCCTAACTGGGAGCCGTCCCGTGGTTATCTTCTCCGAGCGAAATTTGATTTCCATACACCGATCGGCCATACTCGCTCTATAATCTCCAAGACCCCGGGTATGCCGATCGCAATTAGGTGGGCGTCGGCACGGAATAACCAAACTGTATCCTCCCCGGCTTCTGCACAGAAAATCTGCCAGCCGAAGACGCAGTCCTAGACTTAGGGAGTCGTGGTGTGGCTGTATGCCGCCTGGGCATCATTTATTCTCAGCGCTTGAAACGCCTCGCTTGAATCACGAGCAGGACATGGGAACGAAGCGCGCCCTTATCAGCGGTATGGTTCGCAATTATTGCGAATCCGACTGATAAGGGAGGAACAGGCACTTCGTGAGCTCCTGGCGAGAATCTTTGAGAATTTTCTTCGGTACAGAATGCCATTCTCCGCCACCCATTCGAGACTGTGATGGGTCGCTGGACTACCAAGTCGAAAACGCGAGTTAATCCCGAGGAAAAATCCGTCTCTAGCTTCGATAACTGACATTGTTTATTGTGCATCGCGAAGGAACAGCCCCTTTTGCTGTATCAGGGCGAATGAAAAATTAATCCTGAGAAATGTGACGTGTCGTTTGAGGAGCATGATCCGTCGTAAAGCCATAATCCTGATTCCGAAGTGTGAGCAAGGCGTACGGGTCAATAAACGACACCACTCTCCTCCGCACAGGATTAGATGAATCAAGGCTGCTTGTTCTTCTATTCGAACTTCGAGGATGGGATTCTTCAGAGCAGGATTTCACGACACGGTCTCGATTGTGCACCTCATGATTCCTGTCAGGGGAACTGTTCGCTGCGGTGGTGGCATCGGCTCCTGGCACGTGCGTGAGCGTGACGCCCGGCGCATTCTCGTTTCCAATCTACGGTGTTTTCTGAGAGGACAGAATGTGGAACCGATCACACCAGGCGAGGGAGATAGTCTCAAGCACTGGTGAGCATCCGATATCCTCAAAGATCCCCAGGTTCCCTATGATCTTCGAGGAGCGTTCACGGAGCGCCCTTCTTTGTTTCAGCTCATGGACTCCAAGCCTGCCTAACCCTAAAGTGGAAAAGAAATGTTCCTGGAAAGCGTCCCGTGATCCTCCGTAGCAAGATAGCAGGAGAGGCGCACGGAGTTCTCCGTAAAATTGACACGAGATCCGATGATCGCGAAACGTAAGCAATGCGAAGATTTTTGGAAGCCAATCATTACTCCGGACTCAATTTAGGACTCTGGCGTACCCGCCCTTACGACCGATCCGAGCGGGAGATTTCTCTGGGAACACATTGACATTTCGTCGAAATGTTTGTCTGGGATGTTCGACAAATAATAATTGGACCGGGATGTCGGGCTGAGTAAGTTTTTTTTCCACTCGAGAAATGACGATATCCGTCGGCAGCAATTACAAACTTGAAAAATTACCTTGCGTCTGTCCGCACCTGGGGATTGATTTGGGATCCCAAGGAATCGTTCGAGACGAATTTCATTAATCAGGGAGGCGATCGACCGACTCACTTATTCCATTTACGGCCTGCTTGGCAATGAGCCACAGAAACTGTGAGGAGCTTCCGATCAGTGATTGAATAATGGCCGAGTCTGACGTTTAGGTCTAGCCTCTATTTGGTTATCAACATCCGATGAACGTCTCTAATGATCTTACGTTCCCGAGCCATGCCCTGTTCTTGACGTTTGCTCGAATGCCAATGATGTCCAGAGAGCCAAGTGGCCAGAAGACGAAGTCATTGAAAGCCCAATATTAAAATGCTAATGCGAGTCCAGTAATGACTCGCGTATCAAATATTGAGAGATAAACGCGCGTATGGCACCGTTTATCGCATAGAGAACTCATTTATTCTCCGGAGAGACATATCGCGACGAATGAGGAGCCAGTGAATGAAGGGCCGGAGTGCAGCTCGCGGGAAAAAAGAAAAGTTCAGCGGGAGCTCGGATTCGAAAACTGAAAGGATCGGAGCTCCTCTCGATCGGGATTCGAGTTTATTGGGTTAAGCTGATGAAGAGAGCAGAGAATGGCTATTGCCGAGTGGCTTCAGCGAGGGTTCGGAGCAACGGGGAGCGAAATTCTCGTCATCCAAAGTGCCAGCGTATTCGTGGTGATGTCTAGCCGTATTATCGCCGGATGGCGGGTCGCAGAATGATTCGGCGGGACATGAGGATGCCTTATCTCAATTTCGACGTTCAGGCCCTCGCTATCTTCGATGATGCTCATATTCACGCTGGATTTATTGAGAACTGAATGTCTTGCTCGCGGTGGTTCCAGCGGTGACAGTTCTGAAGCCGATCGAGCCACAGAATCGTCTTAAGCTCCCTCCTGGTCAGAGTTTCCATTTCAAGAATTCTCTATTAATGATCCGAAGATTTACAAAGCTTCGGAACGGAGTCGAAGACGAATATCTCGTAATACCAAGTCCGATTGTTTGCCTGTGGACAGGCCTCTGTGAGAATCGCAGAGCTGATCGTCATTACTGGTACCAGAATTCTCCAGAATTTCGGTTTCTATGCTAAGATTGTGGAGTTCAGGGTTTATCTGGATGAGGACGTTTATTGATGTCTGCCGGCCGCACCCAGAAACTATCTTGTTGAGTATTTCGGCTTCGATTGCGAGGGTACCCTTGTTGCGAAATCGGCAACGGTCACGTCACTGTTTCCTACCCAGACCCGGCTCCTCGTATCACGTGCACGCTCGGAATCTCTTGCTTTATCCGAACATGTATTCAAGCCTCGAAGGAGCGCGCAGATGCGAGCTAACCTCGATCGGAACCCGAACCCAATATTGATAGCGAATCCCATTCCGACTCTTTCAAATCCGAGAATCGAATTCGGTGAATCGAAAGTCTCTAGATGTGATCGGATTCAAGTACATGGTCACCGCAGGATCCCGGGGGCGATCTGTTGGCCGACATGGCGGTTCCCGAGAACTCGTTGGGCCCGAACTCCTCGAACGGAGCCGGTATATTTTTACTAAAACATTTCTGGATTCATGCTTGGATTCCCGTTATCGTGGAAGAAAATCCTGTCAAAAGGACATTAGCCTCGCACAGATGACGGAGGGACGCAACCCCGCCCGCCGCCAGATCGGCATCCGACAGAGGCGCATCCACAAAACACAGAAACGGAGATAAGCTCGATATTTCGTTCCCGATGCGTCATCCTGCCCTTCCTATCAGCCGCTCACCCCGTAGTTCCCCGCTCATCTTGGGTTCGGTGTGTTGTTCTTCGCATTCTTCTGTGTATGACTGCGACAGTCCACACCGACTATGCACATACATTTGAAACAAAACTCAATTCGTTTGAATTCTCTGAACGATCGTCCGTAATCGCTCGCTCGACCGAGCGACATTAAAGATTAGATAACCCTTGTATTATCTGTCCTCTGTAAAGCGAGCAAGATATCGGCCCTGCCACCGAGCGGATGTGCAGGCAGATCAAAGGCAATTTGTTCAATTACGTAGTGATCCACGGGACGTGAGTCGCGAGGCTCAAAAGTCACTGGTTGACCGACCGATACGAGGAGCGTCTTTGCCCGGACCGAGAGATAAATGTCGATTGATTCACCACGGAACTCTTTACAACGCCGTGTGTCATCGGCTTCAGCTCGTTGGGCGCGGCAATCTGTCAACTAAACGAGAATATCTCTCTAGCCATGCTCTGACAAAATTTTCATTAGTGCCTCCGAGAATATTTCTCTGTCATGTGCGACCTCTGCATCGAGTAGAGAAAAATATCAATATCAGTCCTCATCCAGAATCATGGCAACCGAAAGGGAGCGAGAGCATCGCAGTTCCAGATCCGCAACTCCCATCAGATCAACATATTCAAGCGCTAATCGAGAACTGGGAGGGTCTCCGCTCACCCATGCTTCACGCATCTGGAAGTCACTGACAGATGATTCGATCTTGGTTCGGAAAAGAATTAGGTGCACGAAGCATATGAATTGCTGGAATGCCCAGGCAAGGGCTCTTCTACGAATTCGCCCTTTCTGGCATCTGGAAGCTCCTCCATGTACCAAGCCT